GCAGGGGAGGCTAAGCTACACAAGGGTGAGACACCTAAACTAGAGTACACAGGGTAATAAGATACAGCAACACTAGAAGCGTCAGCATACAAAGCATGCAAAGCAGCCCTATCTGATCCATATCTAACTCAAAGATCGGCACGCCCTGGCGAAGCAGGCTGTGCCAGTCGGGGAGGTCCGGGGCCGGGCCAAAGCGACGACGAAAGAGATCTTCGAGGCGGCGGAAACAGCGGGCGATCGGGTGCGGGCGGCGGCACAAAGTGCCGCGGAGAGGTCTGGTCTGAAGCTGGTACTGGCAGGTCACAGCACTGGAGCTGCCGGTAGACGCCAAGCTGCGCGGGCCACCACCTCGGCCACCACCGCCGGAGGTGCCGGGCCAACCAGGTGGGAGACGAGCCCACGGCTGCGACAGCTGCTGCTGGGACGGCGGCGGCTGCTGCTGGGGCTGCTCCGGTTGCGAAGGCGACTGCGTCTGCTCCTGCCCACCGGTGGTAGTCCCCTCAGGTGGACTACCGTCACCACCACCACTACCACCACCACTAGTGCCACCACCACGACCTCCCTGGCGGCCACGGCCACCGCGGCGCGGACGCTGCTGCGGGTGGGACCGCAGCTGCCGTCTCGGTAAGAGGGGTCGCAGTGGCGACCGCAGCCGAAACGTCAGTAAACGTGCACTGGGAGGGGGCACAGCCGTGAAAGATAGAGACTGTTGGCGCACCGCTGGACTGAGCGATAGTGCGCTGGCGCGTCTCGATCTCGGGTGAGGGTGTCGACAAAGCGGTCCAGTGTGAGGTCACCTGAGTGCTGGCTAAGGAAGCGGTCGCGGGCACTAGCTAGGCAGTCCGGCAGGCGCATGGCGATAAAATAGATGGTCATGCAGAATGGGGGGGGGAGCGCAGTGAGCTGGGCAGCAGTGCTGGCAGTGCGATAGCGATCTCTAGGGCACGCAAGTGAGTTGCAAAGTCTGCGACAGTAGGGAAGGCAGCAAGGTGTGGGAAGAGCATCGGGAAGAGCAGGCGGCCGGCAGAAGCGGATGCAGGTGTGGAATAGCGAGCAATAACAGCGTCTAAATAAGCTTTGGCCGTATCAACTGTAGCAAAACGCGAGCGCTCAGACACAGGGAGGGCGTGACTGATAGCAACCTGAGCTACTGCATCGCGTGAGTCCCAGACCGGCACAGGCAAGCGCAGCAGTAGAGAAAGCCTCACTCTCAGCGGAGGTGGGGTTAGCAGGGAGGGGAGCAGGTGCAGGGGGGCGAGGGAGCAAGCCATCAGCATGGACAACCAGCGAGTGTCCATCCTTGCGCTGGCCTGTAAGCTGATGGCGGAGATCGGAGAGCCAGGCGACGAAGTCAACCGCGTGGCCCTCAGCGTCCAGGCGGAGCACGAAGTCAGCCATCGTGCAGGGTCAGTGACACAGCTCCTTAGCAACACAGCGGCACAGCTCCACAGCTCGGCAGGAGCACAGCGGCATGGGGACACGGCGGCAACACTCTCCAGTAGGGCGGCTGCGGGGCGCCCCGGCGTGGGCTAGCAGAGGACACGGGGCCCGAGGTGGCACGGCAGGCCGAGCAGGCACGAGGAGGGGCCAGGCGGGCAGGAGGAGGGGCCGGGCTGGCGCTGAAAACCGGGCAAGCGTGACAGGGCCGGGCTGGCGCTAAAAGGGGCCGGGCGGGCGCACTGGGACTAGCGGGCGGTAGGAGAGGCCGGGCGGCGCTAGGAAGAGGCCGGGCAGGTGCTGCTGGGGCCGGCTAGGAGCGGGCTCGACGGCCAGTGGGCCAGCTAGGGGCGGGCGCAAACGGCTAGAGGGCCAGCTAGGAGCGGGCGCGAACGGCCAGGGGGCCAGCTGAGGGCGGACGCGACGGCCAGGGGGCCAGCTAGGAGCGGGCGCGACGGCCAGTGGGGCCAGCTAGGGGCGGGCGCGACGGCCAGGGGGTTGGCTAGGAGCGGGCACGAACGGCCAGGGGGCCAGCTAGGGGCGGACGCAACGGCCAGGGGCTGACTAGGGGAGGACGCGACGGCCAGGGGGCCGACTAGAGGCGGACGCGACGGTCAAGGGGCCGACTAGGGGCGAACGCAACGGCCAGGGGGCCGGCTAGGGGCGGACGCGACGGCCAGGGGGGCAGCTAGGAGTGCGCGCGACGGCCAGTGGGGCCAGCTAGGGGCGGGCGCGATGGCCAAGGGGCCGGCTAGGAGCGGGCGCGAACGGCCAGGGGGCCAGCTGAGGGCGGACGCGACGGCCAGGGGGCCAGCTAGGGGCGGACGCGACGGCCAGGGGGCCAGCTAGGGGCGGACGCGACGGCCAGGGGACCGACTAGGGGCGGACGCGACGGTCAAGGGGCCGACTAGGGGCGAACGCGACGGCCAGGGGGCCAGCTAGGGGCGGACGCGACGGCCAGGGGGCTGACTAGGGGCGGACGTGACGGCCAGGGGGCCAGCTAGGGGCGAACGCGACGGCCAGGGGGCCGACTAGGGGCGGACGCGACGGTCAGGGGGCCAGCTAGGGGCGAACGCGACGGCCAGGGGGGCGGCTAGGGGCGGACGCGACGGCCAGAGGGCCGGCTAAGGGCGGACGCGACGGCCAGGGGGCCGACTAGGGGCGGACGCGACGGGCAGGGGGCCGGCTAAGGGCGGGCGAGAGACGAGGGCGCGGGCGGAAGTGGGCGGGGGGACCTAACCTACTCGATACCATGTTAGAATACGTGAATGATTACTAGAAGGAGAAACCTAGAACATATACCTGTTGGGTTGTACTCACTAGAAGCACACACCTAGTCCAGCCTATAACTTCTACATAGAACATATGTATAAGTTGACATAAGGTGCATGCATAAACCTGAGCATGACAGCACACAGCCATCACACCAAACTGCTACTATCTTGGCTGCATGAGTGGTGGAGCTCTTGTCCTGCAACAAAAAATGCATTTGGAACAAATTTATTTTATTGAGGCGTCACTAGAAAACATGGGCATGCATTTTATTGGCAAGGTTGATCGCATGAGGCATGCACGCCACCACCAAGGCTAATTGCAAAAGAGAAGGAGCCAGGCCAGCAAGCACTGCCACGGGCACCAGCCATGATGCACGGCTGAGAGCCAATCCTCGTGCCTTACGCAGGAGGCATGTTGATCAGCTGGGGGGGTTCCTGGCGACGGGCTGGGTAGTGCCTTGCAAGGGAAATGAGCAACCGCGGAGCCCATGCACACAAAGAAGACGACGAGCTGTGCTGATCGGTGCCGCCTCGCTGCCAGATACTCCGATGGGTGCTGGCTTGCTCCCGGGTGCTCCGATGGGTGCTGGCTCGCTCCCGGGTGCTCCGATGGGTGCTGGCTCGCTCCCGGGTGCTCCGATGGGTGCTGGCTCGCTCCCGGGTGCTCCGATGGGTGCTGGCTCGCTCCCGGGTGCTCCGATGGGTGCTGGCTCGCTCCCGGGTGCTCCGATGGGTGCTGGCTCGCTCCGGGTGCTCCGATGGGTGCTGGCTCGCTCCCGGGTGCTCCGATGGGTGCTGGCTCGCTCCCGGGTGCTCCGATGGGTGCTGGCTCGCTCCCGGGTGCTCCGATGGGTGCTGGCTCGCTCCCGGGTGCTCCGATGGGTGCTGGCTCGCTCCCGGGTGCTCCGATGGGTGCTGGCTCGCTCCCGGGTGCTCCGATGGGTGCTGGCTCGCTCCCGGGTGCTCCGATGGGTGCTGGCTCGCTCCCGGGTGCTCCGATGGGTGCTGGCTCGCTCCCGGGTGCTCCGATGGGTGCTGGCTCGCTCCCGGGTGCTCCGATGGGTGCTGGCTCGCTCCCGGGTGCTCCGATGGGTGCTGGCTCGCTCCCGGGTGCTCCGATGGGTGCTGGCTCGCTCCTGGGTGCTCCGATGGGTGCTGGCTCGCTCCCGGGTGCTCCGATGGGTGCTGGCTCGCTCCCGGGTGCTCCGATGGGTGCTGGCTCGCTCCCGGGTGCTCCGATGGGTGCTGGCTCGCTCCCGGGTGCTCCGATGGGTGCTGGCTCGCTCCCGGGTGCTCCGATGGGTGCTGGCTCGCTCCCGGGTGCTCCGATGGGTGCTGGCTCGCTCCCGGGTGCTCCGATGGGTGCTGGCTCGCTCCCGGGTGCTCCGATGGGTGCTGGCTCGCTCCCGGGTGCTCCGATGGGTGCTGGCTCGCTCCCGGTGCTCCGATGGGTGCTGGCTCGCTCCCGGGTGCTCCGATGGGTGCTGGCTCGCTCCCGGGTGCTCCGATGGGGCTGGCTCGCTCCCGGGTGCTCCGATGGGTGCTGGCTCGCTCCCGGGTGCTCCGATGGGTGCTGGCTCGCTCCCGGGTGCTCCGATGGGTGCTGGCTCGCTCCCGGGTGCTCCGATGGGTGCTGGCTCGCTCCCGGGTGCTCCGATGGGTGCTGGCTCGCTCCCGGGTGCTCCGATGGGTGCTGGCTCGCTCCCGGGTGCTCCGATGGGTGCTGGCTCGCTCCCGGGTGCTCCTACGGGTGCTGGCTCGCTTCCAGGTGCTCCGACGGATGCTGGCTCGCTCCCGGGTGCTCCGATGGGTGCTGGCTCGCTCCCGGGTGCTCCGATCTGTGCTGGCTCGCTCCCGGGTGCTTCGATCGGTGCTGGCTCGCTCCCGGGTGCTTCGATCGGTGCTGGCTCGCTCCCGGGTGCTTCGATCGGTGCTGGCTCGCTCCCGGGTGCTTCTATCGGTGCCCCTCCCACGGTGCAGGAGAAATCAAGTACCGTGGATCCCCTGAAACCACAGAAAACCAACGCGTTGCACAACTCATATATGCCTTAGAGGCTCTGCAACACTCTTATGCCTATGGCACAGCAGGGTGAGGGTGGGAAGTGGGGGTGGCCAGTGAGGGTGGCGAGTGAGGGTTGCGAGTGACGGTGGCGCAACAGGTGAAGCTAGATGCACACAGAATTCGGGGTTGGAATTGGGTACCTTGTTAGGCCGTGATAACCAAAAGTTCTCGAGCTGTCCCCGGAGTACGCAAAGATGATGTTGGACGGGCCCGCCAGCTTCACTGGCACGTTTCCAGATCCCTCCGTGCGAGTGAATCTGCAGCCAAACAGAAATATTACCATGGGAGATCGATAGGTGGCTATAAGTTCAGTCTAGGACCAGAATGAAAGGTTTAAGAAGGGCACGGGGCACGTCTGCAGCGCACTCACTCGAGGATATAATCGTGATGTTTCAGCTCGCTTGATCGCTGCTCTCGTTACAGTCAACACTCTTGTTACAATCGCCACTCACTCGAGGATAGTCGCGGCGCCTGTCACCGCACGGCCCTTTGCCCCCCCGAGGAAAGAGCTCATTTCCCCAACGCGCTCCTGGCCGCCGGCGGAGGTCGACACGAGCTTATAAGCCGCCGGCAGGCCCGACCCGTTGACCTCTGTGCCGTCCGCCGCCCGTTCCTCGAGATTGCCAACCACCGCGTCGCTGCCGGCCATGTTGCCGTCCGGCGACCACCCCACTGCCGCCCAGCCAGAGGTGTACGTCTCGAGGGCGAGGTGGAGCTCCGTCGAGTTGGGCGTCTTCCAGTGGAGAAAGAGACTGGGGGCGGGCGTATTTTCGAGGGGGCAAGGGGAGAAAACAGAAGAGCATGCAATTTCAGTCGAACGTTCACAAATGCGAGGTAGGTCGAGTGGCGTCCAGCCGACAAAGGTGCATTTCTGCCTAGTAGGGCGCGTGGGCGATCCACGCATTTGAGGTCGCTCGATGCGATTTCTGCAAAGTTTTTCTAGGGAGTAGTTGACGTCAGCAGCTGAGCGCAGCTTTCAGTGAGCGGCGCCGCCACTCTCGGTCGGAATTGAAAGAGAATCGACGGAATGCGGCACCAACCAAAAGAGCAATTCAGGGAGAGCGCACCTGTCAGTGAGCTGCACCTCCACGTCGTATCCATGGAGAGTCGATACAACGCAGTTACTCTGCGCCGCCGCACCCGACGCGAAGAGCGCGCCGTAGAAGGCCACGGCGAACAGCACCGCCGCGAAAGCCGGCGCCATGGACGGAAACTTTCCAGCCACGACGATTGCGCGCCGAGTTCGGGTTTCTTACTCGAAGAACCCCTGGGGGTGCAGCTGACGAAGCTCGCGAAGCTAAGCGACGCTCGCGAAGCTAGTAAGCGTAAAGCTGACGTGCGGGAATTCGAAGCAGGCTTGCGAAAGACCCGTTTAGGAGCGTAGCAGCTGCGCGCGGGGATCAGATCTGATGAAGATTACCGAACTCTGATGAGAGTATGTAGTAGGGGTAGGATCTAGTACGTTCAGTAGAGGAGATGTGCTGGAACTGAGAAGGTACCGAAGTATGGGTATGAAGTATGTAGTATATCGTATGGGTACGGTTGAGGATCTAGTAGTACGCTGCTCCGTAGAGGAGATAGTGCAGGAACTGAGAAGGACGTGCTCCTAAATACCCCCAGTACCGAGAGCGGGATTCTCTCGGTAGGAATGCCTACGGGAGTCGCTCAGTGAGCGGGTTGTAGCTAACATTGTCGGGCGTTCGGCATTGCGCACACTTCCTAAAATTACAAGTTAAAACAATTGCGGCTCCAGAAGAGTTCCACCCAATCATGGCTGAACGTCGTCGGGCATTTGGCGCTGCGGCACACTCCATCCCATTTCCCATTGCCCATCCCATCCCATCCCATTCCATTTCCCATTTCCCATTTCCCATTCCAATAATTGCTCGCCCGGTGGAATTCGACGCATTCTTGCTCCAATTTTCCGTGTCGCGGTTCAGGAAGGTTTGCCCAGCGAGGCACGGGGGATTCACAGATGCTCGCGTATGATTGGCTGTAGCGTGGAATGTCAGCTCGGGTCGAACCAGAAATATGCGCTGTTCTGAAATCGGTACGGCTACAAGCTTCCAAATCTGTAGTACAGAACAACAGATAACTCTAAACTTTAGCGCGTGCTTTTATGGGCCACAATGACGCAAATAACTTATGGTGCTTGCTCCCTATCCTTTACCAGGCGCAGGCCATCTGTCAGTGGGTTAGCATCAGTTAATTTGAGACTGCTTCCGATTTTAGGTGCGACGCGGATATCTGTCACATCTGTCTCTCCAGACTCCTCCAACTAGCCTGCATCCTGATTGGCTTCCCATCCCGCCAGCCAGCTGTCCTCCCCTTCATCTCCCTCCCCATTTCCTTTTCCTTGACCCCCCTCGCTCTCCTCTCCGTCTTCCCCTTCACCTTCACCACCCTCCGCGGTCCGTTTATCATTCCTACTTGCATCATCCCCAGTCCCTCTCTCATCATTCCCCATCCCTCCCTCGTCATCCACAGTCTTCTCATCATCCTCACTCCCACCACCCTCTTGAGTGGGAGACCCACTGCTCTCACTGCCGACATCAGCCCCATCAGCCCTCAACTCCCCCTCAACACCTCTTCCACTATTTGTTTTGCTGTCACTGCCGACATCAGCCCCACCAGGTCTCGAATCCCCCCCCACACCTCCTCCTCCATAACTGCTCTCACTGCCTGCAGCAACTGTAGCAGACTTGTCATCATGCTCTTCTCCTCCGCCCTCCCCTTCACTATTGTCACACTCACTGTTATTAACCTCATCTCCCCTACTATCAGCCATACTACCCTCATCTCCGTCATTATTCGCTCTCTCTGCAGGGCCCACATCACCACTTGCACTACCAACCTCAGGTCCTTTGTTACTCAAACCCTCACCATGCTGTCGTGTGTGTCGAGATGAAGTGTCACATTTCGGAGAATTTGTCGATGACGACGAGGATTGCGTCATGACCGCCTGTGATAGTTGGTAACCCGGTTATGAAATCCAGGCGAACCACTTGCCATGGCTTTTCTGGAGAGGAAGAGGCTGTAGCAGTCCTGCCTGTTTCTGCTTGCTGCTCTTCATCCGTTGACATGTCGTACACGAGGTGACAAATTGCTGGACGTTGTCTGCCATGTGGGGCCAGTAGTAGTGCTTTGCAATACCGGTGAGCGTTTTGTTGCTTCTGAAGTGTCCCGCATATAGAACATCGTGGTATTCTTAGAGTAGTAATTGGCGCAAAGGAGGGTAATTGGGTACCCAGATTTCCGTTGATCCCTTCCGCTACGCGATGTCACTGTCCCACTGTAGCACGTGTCGTTTTGCCGCCAAAGGAATTTCGGGGTCGATGGCGTACCCGTGTGTGAAGAGTCCCTCGAGGAGTGGGCTGATATCTTTGACCTGGATTGTGGCAACGTGTGCAGGCCGACTGAGAGCGTCTGCTTCGTTTTTGTGGCCGGGCTTGTACACGATGTCATACTGGAAGTGTGTCTCAAGGAAGTCGATCCATCGCACATGCCACCTAGAGATGTTTGGTTGTGTCTTCAAATATTTCAGGCTGCATTGGTCGGTGTAAACGGTTGTTTTCCGTCCTTCGAGAAAACATCTCCACGTTTTGAAGGCGATGATAATAGCAAGGGCCTCCTTGTCGTGTATCGGGTAGTTTAGTTCTGCCCCGTGTAGTTTCTTGCTGAGGTAGGCGATTGGTTGCAGTCCATTCCCCTGGTCTTGCATCAAGAGTGCTCCCACTGCCTAGTCACTAGCGTCAGCTTTGATGACGTAGTCGCGTTCGGGGTCTGGCAAGATGAGTACGACTGCGGATGTGAGTGCTTGTTTCAGCTGCTCCACGACTTTCTGATATTTTGGTTCCCACTTATAGGGCGTGTTCTTCTTCAGCAGACTCGTGAGTGGTTTTGCGATTTTTGCGTATTGTGGCACGAACCTGTTGTAATAGTTAGCGAAGCCTAGGACCTGCTGCAACTCCTTCACGTTCTTGGGTGTCTTCCACGTACGTACGGCTTTGATCTTCTTGGGGTCGACGTGAACTCCTTGAGCGCTCACCATGTGTCATAGGAATTGGACTTTCTCAAAGGCGAATTCGCTCTTGGATAATTTGACGTAGAATCGTTCTCGTCGAAGAATGTCGAAGACGCGTCGCAGATGTTGGACGTGCTGCTGCATGTCGCGTGATTATATGAGGATGTCGTCCAGGTAAAGCACCACGCATTCGTCCAAGAGTGGGCGTAGAATATGGTTGATTTCGGCTTGGAATGTTGCCGGTGCGTTGGTGAGTCCGAACGGCATTACTAGATACTCGTACGACCCGTACCGAGTTTGGAAGGCATTTTTGTGGATGGAATTGTCCGCCATTTGTACTTGCCAGTACCCGGACCGCGGATCTAGTTTGGAAAATACCATGGCTTCCCGAAGCTGGTCAAGCAGGTCATCGATTCGAGGGATTGGGTATTTGTTCTTGATGGTCTGCTTGTTGAGAGCTCGGTAATCGATGCACATGCGCAGGCTTCCGTCTGGTTTCGGTGTGAAGAGTACTGGGGCACTGTAGGGCGAAGTGGCTGGTCGGATGAGTCCTTTTGCGAGGAGATACTCGATCCATTTCTTCATGTCGACTAGCTCCATGGGGCTGAGCTGACATGGTGTTCGAAAGGTCGGCTTCGAACCTGGTACTTCCACGATCTCGTGTTGGTGCGTTCAGTATGGTGGCAGCTCGTTCGGAAGGTCGTCGAGAAGAATGTCTTGGAACTCCTTCAATAATTCCTTCATTTTTTGTGGAGGTTCCGAGTTTTCTCCCCGTCATTTTCCACCTCTGTTGCTATCGCCAGGAACCCGGTGTCGGTTCGCTTTACGTCCTTCTCGAATCGTACGAGTGTCTCAACTGGGATATCTCCCGTATCGTCCCAGTTGGGTAGCTGGACTCTCCTTCCATTGTTGTAGATGCTTGCGGTACGATTTACCCCGTTGATCTCGGGGTTGTTTTTTTTTAGGAAGTCTCGCCCGAAGGTCAAGTCAAGCCCTCTTACAGTGGCGAAAACAATTGTCCGTGTGTTTTGCATAAATTTGGGTTTTTAGGCTTTAAGACCACTATACATTAAGCCTTAATGTTTAATGGTGGTACGATTTGGGAGGGGCACATAGTGGATGTTTTCATAGCACAAATATCAAGAATTGTACATTAGATCTACCTTATATGCCAAAAGATATAAAAGGGTACATCCGGACAAATAGTTCCAAGCAGAGAGAGCAAACTTCAAAAGTCATTTCTAGTTCCTAGCCCACCGACCTTTGGCCTTGATCACCGCCCGCACCCTCCTAGGCGAGCTGTCGATGAGGCTAGAGCAAACCTCGGCATGGATCTTCTCCCATTCGTCCCGGACCAACTCTTAGAGCTCTAGCATTTCAGAGGAAGGCCTTTTCTGGTTGGCTAGCTCCCTTTTCAGGTAAGCCCCAGAGGTTGAGGTTTGGTGAAAAAGAAGGCCACTCCAGGGCTACATACTCATGTTCTCCAAGTCATTCATGCACTAGGCATAACAAATTCTTGGGGTCATTGTCCACACTGAGATGACCTCAGAGGGGAAAATGCTATAGAAATGGAGGTTCAATTCGAGTTCGTCATGCAAAATGCCCTCATACAGGGGCCTCTCCATGCATCCGTCAATCTTGCATATGAACCCCACCCCCGCACATGTCACACATCCCCACACCATCACCGATCCTTGTCCCCATGGTTTACCGTCTGTTTGATTTGGTGGTGTTGCAGGGTTGTGCCTTCACAAATCCAGGCAAACGCGCGGCCATTGGAGCTGAAGCAATTGATGTTGGTCCCATTTGACCATATCACATGCTTTCGAACACTAATTGTCCACTCCACGAATTGCAGCCGACCCCTGATTATTTTCCAGAACAGTCTTGGCTTCTATGACTGATGCACCGTGACTAGACCCGCAGACCCTAGTGTGCTTTTAATGGTGCAAGGGTGCACACTCAATTGTGCAACGTTACCCTCAGTTTCGTGGTGTCTACGCTAGATTTGGCCGCTCTATTCGTGATTTTACCCTACAATGGTACGATGAAGTCGATCCGTGATAAGATGGGCCTGACCGGCTAATTGCATCTTTGGCCACACCTCAGCATGGCTAGTCTCAAAGATACAATTCAATCGAAATTCGTCCATAATACTCTAGCCTACGCCTGACTTTTTTCGCGATTTTCCTAGTGCTCACCCCCTTATGCTAAATGGTGGGTCCAGGAAGAGTGCAAGAAGTTCCCCGCCGAGGTTTGTACTAACCTCGTAGGTAATATGCATAGGAGGGTGCGAGTCATGATCAAGGCCAAAGATCGGTGGGCTATGTAGCAAATACCCAATTCTGGAATTTGCTCTCTCTGCTTGGAAATATTTGTCCGTATGTACCCATTGTATATCTTTTGGGATAAGAGTTAGTTCCAATAAACTCTTCTGGATATTTGTGCTATGAACACATCCACTATGTGCCCCTCCCAAATCGTACCACCATTAAACATTAACGCTTAATGTATAGTGGTCTTAAAGAAAAAAAACCCAAATTTATGCAAAACATTCGGACAATTGTTTCCGCCACTGTATGTTGGTGATGGGGAGTGCAGGTTTCTAGCGCAGTGGTCCGATTTGTAGGTGTAACACTGCTTCACTGTGTACTGGTAACTTGCTGCCATCCACCATCGTTGCAAAGAATACTGAAGGCTTGTACTCTTCCCGAAGTCAGTCGATTTCTGCCTTGTCGCAGACGATGTGTGATGCTCCGCTGTCCACGAGTGCTTGGAGGTGGCGTCCTTTGCAGATGGCCTCGAGAACGAGGGGCGGGCGTTGGTCGGAGTACCCAAAGATAGTTTCGTTAATAGGATCATAGGGTACATCCCAGTATTCCGTACATACATTTTTCTTGCTATCTGCTCGTGGGTTAGCAGCTGGCCGAGGCTGCTTGGAGAAATTTTCTCCCTTAGGACCCTGAGCTTTCTTGATGACTGTGTATATCGTTGATGCCAAATTTGGTAAGCTGGATGCACCTGGAGGAGGAGATCGGTTTTTTTGCAGCTTCTTGTAGACCCCCAGCTTCCTCTTGAGCTGCTTCATCTCCACCGACGTCTTCCCAGGGGAGCGGGTAGTTGTTGTGGGCTGATGTCGGGAGAGGACGTTGACTCCGTGGAAAGGTCGGCTTCTTTCCACACTCCTTCATTTTGTCCCCAAGTTTTCCGGTACCGGTATTATTTCCACAAGTTTCTGCTTCTTCTGGAGTCCCTTCCGAAATTTCTCCAAGGCTCTAGCCCCTCGAGAATCATAAGTTTTCATTAAATCGAGGGGCTATAATAATGACCCCCATTTCGAGTTGGACCCAACTTAAACTAGTTCAGGTCAAGAGTGTGTTGGTTGGAACCTTGTGACGAGTATTGGGGCACCGTATGGCGAAATAGATGGTCGGATGAGTCCTTTTGCGAGGAGATACTCGATCTATTTCTTCATGTCGGCTAGCTCCGTGGGGCTGAGCCGATATGGTGCTCGGAAGGTCGGCTTCGAACCTGTTCCTTCCACGATCGCGTGTTGGTGGAATAGCGCGCAATGACAGCATCTAAGAAGGCCTGGGTGCGTTCGGTATGGCGGCAGCTCGTTCATAAGGTCGTCGGGTCTTGGAACTTCAGTCATTCCTTGATTTTTTGTGGAGGTTCCGAGGTTTTCTCTCTGTCGCTTTCCATATCCGTCGCTATCGTCAGGAACCTGGTGTTGGTTTGCTTTATATCCTTCTCGAATCTTGCGAGTGTCTCCACTGGGATATCTCCTGTATCATCCCAGTTGGGTAGCTGGACTCTCCTCCCATTGTTGTAGATGCTTGCGGTACGGTTTACCCAGTTGATCTCGGGGTTGAATCTTTTTAGGAAGTCTTGCCCGAAGATCCAGTCAAGCCCTTTTATGTTGGTGATGGGGAGTGCAGGTTTCCAGTACACTGGTCCGATTTATAGGTGTAACACTGCTTCGCCGTGTACTTGTAACTTGCTGCCGTCCACCATCGTTGCAGAGAATACTTAAGGCTTGTACTCTTCCCGAAGTCGGTCGATTACTGCCTTGTCGCAGACGATGTGCGATGCTCTGCTGTCCACGAGTGCTTGGAGGTGTCGTGCTTTGTAGATGACCTCGAGCACGAGGGGCGGGCATTGCTCGGAGTGCCCAAAGATAGTTTCGTTAATGGGATCATAGGGTACATCCCAATATTCCGTACACACCGTTTTCTTCCTATCTGCTCATGGGTTAGCAGCTGGCCGAGGCTGCTTGGAGAAAGTTTCTCCCTCAGGACCCTGAGCTTTCTTGATGACTGTGTGTGTCGTTGTTGCCGAATTTGCTGAGTTGGATGCACCCGGAGGAGGAGTTCGGGGTTTTTGCAGCTTCTTGTAGACCCCCAGCTTCCTCTTGAGCTGCTTCATCTCCACCGACGTCTTCCCTGGGGAACGGGTAGTCGTTGTGGGCTGGTGTCGGGAGAGGACGTTGACTCCGTGGAAAGGTCAGCTTCTTTCCACTCTCCTTAATTTTGTCCCCAAGTTTTCCGATAACGGTATGATCTCCACAAGTTTCTGCTTCTTCTGGAGTCCCTCCCGAAATTTCTCCAAGGCTCTAGCCCCTCGAGAATCATAAGTTTTCATTAAAGCATCTTTATAAGATAACTTTAACGAATCCTTATAATTACTTGGGTCTTCTCGGAGTTTCCCCGTCTCGGGAGAGTCCTTTTTTCGCGGAGTCAGATTTTTTCTCGGCGATTTTCTCTGGCGAAGACTGGTCGTGGGGTGGAGATTTTTCCCCATCATTTCGTCCTGCTCGCGTCGAATCAGATTCGTTTAAGTTGATTTTCCCAGAATCCCACGACCGCTTTCGGATCTTTTCATTCTCGCCAGCTAGATCCGCAATCACTGGCGAATTCCGTTTTTTGTCTTCTGATTGGCCGAAGAATTTTCGCCACTGTTGCGTGCCCGATAATCTGCTCGTGCAGCTTTCATTTTGTTGTAATCGAAGATTCGATGGCACGGCACCCCGCAAAAATCACACGTGTAGTTGGTGTTTTTCAGACGTGACCGCTCGTCGAACTTGTCGATCTCCATCAGGTCCGCGAACGTGGGGTTAGCCGAGCGGTCGCCCTGTCGCGTATTGCCGACGTGCACCCGTCGGGCTCCGGTATTGACCATGTCAAACCGCTCTGCTACCGAAACGAGGTCACTGTAGCTCGCATAATTTGTCGCTGCTACCAGTCGTTTGACTTCGGTCTTCAGCCCGGCGAGATACGACTGTACTTTTTCCCCTTGCGTCGTCGCCGTTGTCGTGTCGTGCTGCGCGCCGGCGAGTTGAGTTACTCGCTCGAACTCGTTTCGGCAAGCTTCGTGATCGGCTCGCATCTCCTCCTCAAGGGCGGCGATTCTCGCGAAGAGCTGCTGGGTAACCTTAGCGTTGTCAAAGTTCGCCATCCTGTTCAAAACACGCGCGGAGGGGTTAATTCAAAAATATCGGAGCTGGTGCTTACCAGAATCGGAGCCGAATTGATCGCCCCTGACGGTTTTGCGAAGCAGGTTTTCCCGCTGCTTCTGCTTAGCTGAGCTCGGCTGAGTGAGAAACGCTCTGATGACCAAGTGTCTCAGGATCGATTGTGTCGAGGAAAAGTTGCACTATCGATTGATACAAGGCGCTTTTATACTTCCGAAGTACATCAGGTAACTAGGTTTATCCTATCCAAAAAGAATAGACCCTTCTAGAAATAGAATCACCCTGCGTATAGCCACATGAGGCTATTGGCTTTAAAGGGATTACGGCAAGATTACGCTAGATATAGCGCGCCAGTACATCCCGAGCGTGGCCGGTGATATAATAATAATAATAATAGGAGAACCCAAAGTATAATCAGAAAGCAGGAATAGGAAACCAAATGGGATGAGATAAATATCAAACAAATTAGGATAGTTAGAAGAATGAGGTAGAGAAAAAATATGGAAATGAGAAAGAAGTGTAACGGGATCGTACTCTCACAACCAGGGTAGTCCGTCTCGCAGGCGCCCGAGCATGGTTGGGACCGTCTGGTCCGTCACTGCTTATTCGAAGGGATCACCAAGCACCGTAAGCTTATGCATGAGTAATATGCAAATAGAATCCAGCAAAAGAATGGGGTAAGGTTCGTAAATGCTTGGCAGAGTGAGCACGAATTCCACCAAACGTGATCGTGAGCATACTCTGGCATTGTCGAACGATGATGCCGTGATGGTGGGGTTAGAGGAAGGAAGAGGTGGGAGGTGCTCGGTGGGTGCGAAAAAATTAGTGTGCATATGAGCCTCACCATCCTAGTTGTTGGAGTCATTGTCTTCCTTGGCATTGTTTTGCGTGGTAGCGGCGAGTTCCTTCTTGGCGCGGGTGATCTTGGAAGGACGAGCGTGGCGCGATGACTCCTTTTTTGCATCTTCAATTCTAGTCGAGGCAGAAATGGTAGTCGCAGCTGCTGTAACCACGGGCGTGTTTTGCCGTAACAACGCCAGCAATGCCGCCACTTGCTCGTTGGTCAAAGAAGGGGCTGCGGGTGTTGGCGCTCTGGACGAGGCCGCCCCGCAAACTCGCTTATTCTGATGCGAGGGGCCCGCCGTGCCATTCGGCGCCTTCTGCGCGCTGCCGTCAGCAGGTGACGCGTCATCCGCCACTTGCATCGCTTGCTACTTGCTGGTGCATGGGTCACCAAGGTCAACTTGGTTGACCTCGCCACTACGCAGCAACATGTCGAGGGCAGAAGGGGCGAGGTCGCCGTCTGCCCGACACTTGTTGCCGCGATCACCCGCCATTTCGCGGGCGTTTTTCTCGGGTTCCGAAATATTCCGAGTATCGACGGGCGGATTTTCAGCACGATTGGCCGGGGTGCTAGGAGGGGCCATGACTGCCTGAATATGCATAAGGATATCGGCAAGAAGCTGGGAGGGTGCTTCCCCGCGAGGGAGAGTTTTCAACTTCGCCAGAGTGGCAGAGCAAAAAAGGCGGGATAGGAACTCAATTGAACTTGAGCTGGGAAAAAGGATAAACGTGGGTGGAGGAAGAATGAACTCCAACCCCATTATATAGTTGGAGAAGGGCGAATAGCAAGCCTTGACGATGCCGAAGATTGCGTTACAAGCAGCTTCACATTCACAATACACAATTCTGAAAGTGTGAACACTTCAAAAATTTACATACTATGCATTGCATTTTATTGAAGGGATTCATGCCAGCAATCAATCTAATCACACAAGGGAACCAGGCTCGCAAGCAGAGTCACGAGCACCAACCAAGTTGCACAACTGATAGCTAGCCCTCCTACCTTCGGCTGGAATGGTGACGATGAGCTGGGTGGTGTGCAAGAGCTGGTTGGTGCTTACATGAGAAATCAACAATTGTAGAGCAAGCATCTAGAAGTCACGGTAATTACACTGCTTTGTCAAGGAAAAAAGGGTGAAATTCTTACCTAGCCCTGCTTTTGTCCCACTCGAAATATCGATACCCGTCCATGGACAGGCAAGCCAAAATTATCTCACAGCCAATTTTCGAGTAAGGGATGGACCCACCCTGTAAAATCTAATGTAAACGTTCGCACCCCTAGAGAAATGTCCCCCCCTGTAATTGTCAGGAGTGGCACATTCCAAGCTGGTCGAAACTTTGGCCTGCAAAAACAATCCAAAATTTTAGAGATACCCAGCCTGGACGAGTTGGATCTTGGGCAAACTCGGATTCAGCAGGGTGACCCCTAGGTTATCGAGAGGCCTGTTGCGGAGTCCCTGAGCGCAAAGAAGACGACGAGTTGGGCAGCTCACTGTTGCTTGCCCTTCTTCCGAGACGCCGTCTTTCGAGGTGGCTTCTTGTGTCGTGCCCACCACTCATGGGCATCATGCTTCATGCCGCGTGGCCAATCGTCCTTGGTAGGACGTTTGATTCATCTCAAAATTTACAGCTGCACCCACCACAACTGCGCGTCGCGCTTCACGCTCACCAACTTCCTTGTGATGCTCACACAGTGCAGCACCTTAAAGCCGAATGATAACCTGCCAATCGATACCTCCATGCCCACTCGGTCACACAGAGCGCTCGGCAGTGACTCCCTCGCCGCCACACCACCCGGCTTCTGCGTCGCGCCTCACGGCTTTTGCTTTGCGCTTGACTCGGAGTTCCTTGCCACATCGGCGCCACCAGAGGCCATGACGAGCATGACATAGAGAGTCACAATGCCCGTTGGATTTGCCATGATCTGTGAAGTGCTGCGCTTGCAAAACACCTGCTCACAAAAGACCCGCAGGGATGAGCTACTACCAGTGGTAGCAACTAGTACCCAACCAATGCGTGCAGTTGCAATAGTCCTACTCATTTTCCCGCTTCGTAATATGCGCATCGGTTAGAGGATCTACGTGGCACTCAAAGGAGAGATGCGTCAGGGACTGATAAGGGAGTAAATACACCCAGTACTCTTGAAAAAATAAATAAATAAATCCACCTCTATTACGACAACCCCTCTGGCATAGGACGTTGCTACCGAGAACTGAGAATTTCCATCCGATATTCCCCGAGTCAGAGTTGCTCGCTCTCCAAATCATCAATTTGGGGTAATACCTTCCAACGTTGTCTCACCCGAGTCAGGCTTCCGACGTCGGTGCACGCTCCTATAGTTGCGGCACCCATTTTCAAAAAGTAATTGAGGCGCTATGGCCAGTGAAGTTGCAAATTGTTATGTTTTTTTCTGGAAATGATTATGAGGGTGGATTCCTACGATGTTAGATCTAACCATAGTTAGATGTAGACCAACCAATGTTGGATCGGTGTAATGCTACAATGCGGATCTACCATCATGGGTAATGAGCTGGCATCGTGCGAAAAACATGTTTGGGCGAGCGACGCAAGCGCAACGAGCGTGCGCCAGCGTCATGCGAGTGTAACAGGCGGCTAGGTGGACAAACCCATACATTGCGCCAATGCGCACCGCTACAAGACCATTAACGAGAGCGAATGTGACGCAAATGTCGAGCAGTCAAGATGGAATCAATGCCCCGCTCACAATCACCCCTCGGAAAAAGCGCAGAGTGCACAACCATGCAGCTAGCGTGGAAAACGTCGTTGCGACGCGAAACAGCAAGCACAACCCAGAAAATTGCAGACAAGCCCATAGAGGAGGAAAACCAACATCCCAACCACAACACAGCAAACTGTCGAGAGGCATATATATCGTGCACAAGACCCACGACAGTTGCTAGGCCCACCCATAACTCATTCCTCTAAAGGACAGCATTAGATACGACAGTACGCAAGATGGTACACAAGCGCAGCTTAGACGACGGCTCTTGCCCCCTTGACCTAGGTGAGATACCCTACATGGCCTACATAAATAGGTAGCTTGCAAGCCAGGAGGGCTTATCGCACCCGCTCCGTCACATGTGGGCGAGTACGCCAAACCAGCAGAGCCCCATGCTCAACAACTCTCGTCCGCCGCTCCATCAGAAGACGCAGCTTCGCCCCAGCGCTGGCTACGAGAATGATATCGGCGCAACCGATGAGAGCAGTGGAAAGGCGGCTGACGACAACGCGAACAAAGAGGACGAGTACTACGAGTTTGCCTCCGCGCCAGTGCCACCGCCCGTCGCACCCCCATTGAAGCGCGGGGCGCCTAGTACAAGGCGCACGACTGCAGCCGCGACTCCCGCTCGCACTATGCGTGCGGCAGTCCCTCAAGGGAAGCCCTGCTCGCAGTGGACGCTACGTGAGTCGACGATGCTTGCCGCCGGCCATTGGTTAATTAACGAAGACCACATATCGATGGTGGGAAAGGAGGGCTCCCAATACTGGGAGAAACCCATCGTGCATATTCGTGGATTGGAACTAGAATGGTGCCGAGAGGTCGCGGCGTGCAAGAGGCTGGTGATGGAATACCGCAACATTACAAAGGGTGACATGGCTTCGGGCGGTGGGACGGTGCTCAAAACGCCTTGGTACAACTACGTGTACCTGATCCTCAAGAACACGACGGTAGTGGAGCCGCATGTGGTCGAGGGTGGTGGAGCCGCAGACCTGACGGCGGATCCGAGCCTGCACATCCCACTCGGAGCAGTTGCTCGTGGTGGCACGCCTACGATTACAGGTATGTTATGCGTGTGTCTACGTTTTTTATCACTTTGAAGCCCGCTGCCCAAATTGTTCGTACGCAGCGCTTATGAACGTGAGCAGTGGTTTTAGTGAATTCAGAGAAAATATCGCAGAAGCATGAAATTTCGTTGTCGTAACTGGAGAGGTGGTTGCTGTCAGCCAATAAGAAGCATTCGTGTTTTGTCTGCTGAAACAGGTTTGGTAAAAATCCTTGAAGTCTGGGCCATCCAATTAACGTAAGACCGGTCCGATGGCCCAAACCCAAAAAGCTGAAAGTTTTCAAATCGACAATCTGCAATCAGTACCGAGCTGTATATCCGAGCTCGAAAAATCTCGACCGTCGAAATCAGAGAATTCTGTGTGTTTGCCGAGTCCCAAAACGCAGGCTGTTTCAACTTCAGTGTTTGCCGAGGGACTTGCACTGGCGACAAACAACACACTTCAGTTCTAGTAACCCCTCCAACTGCCCCTTTCAAACGCAGGGCGTTTGACACCCTGTGCTTGCAATTTGGGCTGCGGGCTTTAAAGAACATGGCTCTTATAAAGCATTGCTCTGCAAACATCTAAATTGATATCAGCCGTCACACCTCCCTCCCCTCCCCCCTCGATAACTAACCTCCTATCTACACCCTTGCAAAGTGGGAAGCTCCCCTTCACCTACAGGGTCGACGCCCGCCACCCGATCCTCTGCCCGCCCGCCGCCGTGCCAACGCTACAGCGACTATGGCGGGCGCGAATCTGCTAGCCGCCACTCTAAGTGAGTGCCATGCCGAAGGTATGGCCAAGATCAAAGGCCTATTCCACACCTGGATGGAGGCCAGCGCATCGGCGCCACCGCATCCCACCTTCGTAGAGCCATGGTGCACAACGCAAGCCACAAGGCTCAATAAGGAAAAGAGGTTTTCCTTACACCTTCCCCCCTTCTAAACAAGACTACCCACATCTAGGGCAGCCCAATCGTCTAAATAGGCCTGCACCAGCGGGTGGTTGTCGAGGGTAGCGGCTGGGACCCACATGTCATCGTCGCACGTACGGTCAACCAATTGAACCAGAAACTCCAAAACCCATTGACCTTGGTCGCGGCGGATTCGGTGGAAAAGGATCTGCTGTAGTTTGGTAGTTGGCTCTAAGACGGGTCTGATCGAATGAAAGACTCGTTGACGGTCGAGATCAGTCATGTTCACGACAAACTGTCAAAGGAGGTTGACGTGGAAGGAATCGTGGGTACGCCACCTGTTGTAATAGATAGCGAAGCCTTGGAACTGCTGCAACTCCTTCACGTTCTTGGGTGTCTTCCACGTGCGTATGGCTTCGATCTTCTTGGGGTCGACGTGAACTCCTTGAGCGCTCACCATGTGTCATAGGAATTGGACTTTCTCAAGGGCGAATTCGCTCTTGGATAATTTGACGTAGAATCGTTCTCGTCAAAGAATGTCGAAGACGCGTTGCAGGTGTGGGACGTGCTGCTGCATGTCGCGTGAGTATATGAGGATGTCGTCCAGGTAAAGCACCACGCATTCGTCCAAGAGTGGGCGTAGAATATGGTTAATTTCGGCTTGGAACGTTGCCGGTGCGTTGGTGAGTCCGAATGGCATTACCAGATACTCGTACGATCCGTACTGAGTTCGAAAAGCAGTTTTGTGGATGGAATTGTCCGCCATTCGTATCTGCCAGTATCCGGACCGCATATCTAGTTTGGAAAATACCGTGGCTCCACGAAGCTGGTCAAGCAGGTCATCGATTCGTGGGATTGGGTATTTGTTCTTGATGGTCTGCTTGTTGAGAGCTCGGTAATCGATGCACATGCGCAGGCTTCCGTCTCGTTTCGGCATGACGAGTATTGGGGCACCGTGTGGCGAAATAGATGGTCGGATGAGTTCTTTTGCGAGGAGATACTCGATCTATTTCTTCATGTCGGCTAGCTCCGTGGGGCTGAGCCGATATGGTGCTCGAAAGGTCGGCTTCGAACCTGTTCCTTCCACGATCGCGTGTTGGTGGAATAGCACGCAATGACAACATCTAAGAAGGCCTGGGTGCGTTCTTTATGGCGGCAGCTCGTTCATAAGGTCGTCGAGAAGAATGTCTTGGAACTTCAGTAATTCCTTGATTTTTTGTGGAGGTTCCGAGGTTTTCTCTCTGTCGCTTTCCATATCCGTTGCTATCGTCAGGAACCTGGTGTTGGTTTGCTTTATATCCTTCTCGAATCTTGTGAGTGTCTCCACTGGGATATCTCCTGTATCGTCCCAGTTGGGTAGCTGGACTCTCCTCCCATTGTTGTAGATGCTTGCGGTACGATTTACCCAGTTGATCTCGGGGTTGAATCTTTTTAGGAAGTCTTGCACGAAGATCCAGTCAAGCCCTTTTATGTTGGTGATGGGGAGTGCAGGTTTCCAGTACACTGGTCCGATTTATAGGTGTAACACTGCTTCGCCGTGTACTTGTAACTTGCTGCCGTCCACCATCATTGCAGAGAATACTGAAGGCTTGTACTCTTCCCGAAGTCGGTCGATTACTGCCTTGTCGCAGACGGTGTGCGGTGCTCTGCTGTCCACGAGTACTTGGAGGTGTCGTGCTTTGCAGATGACCTCGAGCACGAGGGGCGGGCATTGCTCGGAGTGCCCAAAGATAGTTTCGTTAATGGGATCATAGGGTACATCCCAATATTCCGTACACACCGTTTTCTCACTATCTGCTCGTGGGTTAGCAGCTGGCCGAGGCTGCTTGGAGAAAGTTTCTCCCTCAGGACCCTGAGCTTTCTTGATGACTGTGTGTGTCGTTGTTGCCGAATTTGCTGAGCTGGATGCACCCCGAGGAGGAGTTTGGGGTTTTTGCAGCTTCTTGTAGACCCCCAGCTTCCTCTTGAGCTGCTTCATCTCCACCGACGTCTTCCCTGGGGAACGGGTAGTCGTTGTGGGCTGGTGTCGGGAGAGCACGTTGACTCCGTGGAAAGGTCGGCTTCTTTCCACACTCCTTAATTTTGTCCCCAAGTTTTCCGGTACCGGTATAATCTCCACAAGTTTCTGCTTCTTCTGGAGTCCCTCCCGAAATTTCTCCAAGGCTCTAGCCCCTCGAGAATCATAAGTTTTCGTTAAAGCGAGAGGCTATAAAAATGACCCCCACTTCGAGTTGGACCCCACTTGAACTAGTTCGGGTCAAGAGTGTGTTGGTTGGAACCTTGTGGGACACGTTTTTTTTTTTTTTTTTTTTTTTGTGGCTTTCTTTTGTTTTTCACATTGTTGTTATATGGCCGATCCTTTGCGACAAGAATACAAACTGACATTTTGCTTGATTGTCGCATAATACAAGCCACTCACTACGCTGCAACGAAACTAGCTGCAGAGCTATATTTTGAAGGCCAAGGCACACATTTCCTCGTCGCATGTCACTTCCAGGCACCGCAAAGCAAAACATTACACCAAAGACAGTGCAAAATATTTGAGAAAGAGAGAGAGAGAGAGAGAGAGAGAGAGAGAGAGAGAGAGAGAGAGAGAGAGAGAGAGAGAGAGAGAGAGAGAGAGAGAGAGAGAGAGAGAGAGAGAGAGAAGAGAGAGAGAGAGAGAGAGAGAGAGAGAGAGAGAGAGAAAGAGAGAGAGAGAGAGAGAGAGAGAGAGAGAGAGAGAGAGAGAGAGAGAGAGAGAGAGAGGGAATGCAAAAATTGATGGCATATGATCATACATGGGGCGCTATGCAGAGAGAGGGAGATAGGTGGAGACACGGAGAGGCGCTTATGGCGGGAGCCACGGACGAGAGAGTGTGGCGGGGAGGGAAGGGAGTGGCATGGCAAGAGGTGGGTGACGTGCGAGCGAGTATGGCGTGGCGGGAAGGGAGTGGCATGGCGAGATGTGCGTTGCAGGCGAGCAAGTGTGGCGAGGCGGGAAGGGAGTGGCATGGCGAGTGGTGAGTGACGGGCGAGCGAGTGTGGCGCGGCGGGAAGGGCGTGGCATGGCGAGAGGTGAGTGACGGGCGAGCGAGTGTGGTGCGACAGGAAGAGAGTGGCATGGCAAGAGGTGAGTGACGGGCGAGCGAATTTGGCGTGACGGGAAGGGAGTGGCATGGCGAGAGGTGGGTGACGGGCGAGCGAATGTGGCGCAGCGGGAAGGGAGTGGCATGGCGAGAGGTGAGTGATGGGCGAGCGAGCGTGGCGCTCCTCTTTCTCTCCCGCGAGTCGCTCCTCCTCTCTCTCTCTCTCCCGCTGCGCCACTCTCTCCCGCTTCGCACCTCCGCCTCTCTCTATCTATCCGCACCACTCTCCTTCTAACTGAGTCTCTCCCGCTCACGCTGCGTCTCTCCCTCTCACGCCAAGTCTCTCCCAGACTCGCCGCATCTCTCCCTCTCTCGCAGCGTCTTTGGCTCTCATGCCGCGTCTCTCCCTCTCTTGCCGCGTCTCTCCCTCTCTCGCCGCGTCTCTCCCTCTCTCGCCGCGTCTCTCCCTCTCTCGCCCCGTCTCTCCCTCTCTCACCGCTTCTCTCCCTCTCTTGCCGCATCTCTCCCTCTCTCGCCGCGTCCCTCCCTCTCTTGCCGCGTCTCTCCCTCTCTCGCCGCGTTTCACCCTTTCTTGCCGTGTCTCTCCCTCTCTAGCCGCGTCTCTCCCTCTCTCTCTCTCTCTCTCTCTCTCTCTCTCTCTCTCTCTCTCTCTCTCTCTCTCTCTCTCTCTCTCTCTCTCTCTCTCTCTCTCTCTCCCCCACAGCGCCACATTCTCTCTCACAGCTCCTCGGCACTAAGTTTCTATGCGGTGGGGCAGCTAGCAGAACTAGCTTGCTTTCTCGGCGAGAATGAGCTAGCTGGATGTCGCTTTGCATGGGAAAGGGAGTAGTGAATCCGCAGCAATTGTGAACCCAGGCCCAACTTGAAAAAACGAGTTGGGCCCATCTCGATCCGAGAGCCCCAACCCATCGCTTGCCCTCGCCGTGCAAGTGTCGCATCGACAAGTGCGACCCCTGACACGGATTCGTTGTCAGATTCGCTGCCATGGCATATCGCGCATTTCGCCCATGCGATGAACATTTTGGCGGGAACCAATCAGCTTTGAGCTGAAATTCCGATCTGCCTACCCGCGCCATTTTAGAACAGTTGTTAATTGAAGCTGGTTTCCAAGTTGAGTCGCTCAGAGGGAGCCCTCTTTCAAGTTGGGCCAGACTTCACTATTTTAGCTTCTTGCTTTAAACATCCTTTATAAGATAACTTGAACAAATCCTTATAATTTCTTCAGTCTTCTAGGAGTTTCCCCGTCTCGGCAGAGTCCTTTTTCGCAGAGTCAGAATTTTTCTCTGAAATTTTCTATGGCGAAGACTGGTCGTGGGGTGGAGATTTTTCCCCATCGTTTCCACCTACTCGCGTCGAATCAGCTTCGCTGAAGTCGATTTTCTCGAAATCCCGCGGCCGCTTTCGGATCTTTTCTTTTTTCGCCAGCTAGATCCGCAATCACTAGCAAATTCCGTTTTTTGTCTCCTAATTGGCCGAAGAATTTCCGCCACTGTTGCATGCCTGATACTCTGCTCATGCGGCTTTCATTTTGTTGCAGTCGAATATTCGATGGCCCAGCACCCCGCAAAAATCACACGTGTAGTTGGTGTTTTTCGGACGTGACCGCCCATCGAACCTGTCGATTTCCATCGGGTCCTCGAACGTGGGGTGAGCCGAGCGGTCGCCCTATCGCATACTGCCAACGTGCGCACGTCGTGTTCCATCGTTGACCATGTCAAACCGCTCTGCTGCCGAAATGACGTCACTGTAGCTCGCGTAATTTGTCGCTGCTACCTGTCGTTTGACTTCGGTCTTCAGTTAGGTCAGGAACGCGGTTATAAAATTCCTCCATCTGTTGTGTGTACTGCGCTACACTCCCGAACTGTCGATGGCGATGATTTTTTTCCCGGGCAAGGAAACCCAAATTTATCGGCTCGAAGCGTTTCAGCAGGTCGGTGCGGAACTACTGCCACGTGGCTTCGCCGTGGATGAAGGTACTGTTACCGCCGATCCACTCAAGTAGCGGTCCTCGCATCAGTGTTGCCGCGAGTCGTACGCGTTGACCGTCCTGGACTGGCGAGCTCCATCCGACGACTGCGAAGTAGATCTCCATGCCAACGATCCATCTGCGGACGTTGGAATTTCGATCGCTCGGATCGAACGGCTTAGGTGGTCACGGTTTCAGAGCCTCGAGAAACTGCTGCGTCGTCGCCGTTGTCATATCGTGCTGCGCACCGGCGAGTCGAGCTACTCGCTCGAACTGGTCTCACCAAGCTTCGCGATCGGCTCGCATCTCCTCCTGAAGGGCGGCGATGCTCGCGAAGAGCTGCTGGGTAACCTCGACGTTGTCGAAGTTCGCCATCCTGTTCAAAACACGCGCTGAGGGGTTAATTCAAAAAGCGCAGAGCTGGTGCTTACCAGAATCGGCGCCGAATTAGTTGCCCCCAGCAGTTTTTCGAGGCAGGTTTTCCCGCTGTTTCTGCTTAGCTAAGCGCGGCTGAGTGAGAAAAGGCTATGATTACCAAGTGTTACAGGATCGAATGTGTTGAGGAAAAGTGGCACTATCGATTGATACAAGGCGCTTTATACTTCCAAAGTACATCAGGTAACCAGGTTTATCCTATCCAAAGGGAATAGACCCTTCTAGAAATAGAATCAGCCTGCGTATAGCCACGCGAGGCTATTGGCTTTAAGGGATTACGGAAGGATTACGCTAGATATAGCGCACCAGTACATCCCGAGCCTAGTCGGTGATATAATTATAATAACTGGATAAACAAAGGATGATGGAATAGGAGGAATAGGAAACCAAATGAGATGTGATAAAAAGAGGAATGAAATGGAAAGGGAAATTGGTGTAACGGGGTCGTACTCTCACAGGTGGTTTCCACTTCGGCAGTCGTCTCCACTTGCCGCCCCACTTCAAACGAATGTCGCCATTCCTCCAAACGATGCTCGGATCCAATCGCGCCGCAGGAGCAAATCGCAGCCGCCCAACGTTGTCGCCAGCATCTTCATGGCGAAACTGACTTGGTTGTCATAATCAATGTGAATGTGTTTCACCCGCTTTCGAATAGTTAGTGGCATGCCGTCGACCAACCGCGCGTTAATCATGGGCATGCACCTCTCCATTTGTAGCTGTAGTTTTTTCGTTCTTGTCACATCGAACAGACTGCATGATGCTCCGCCATCCACAAATATTTTTTATCTCATGCTGCCAACACGCCCTTCCACCAGCACAGGGCAGTTAACAGGTTCACTCACCTTTAACCGGGTGTGATCGATCGTATAGATCGGCATTACTACTCTTTGGGTGATGAAGCCTTATCAGTAGGGGGCCCAAATGCTACAGATGCTGTCCATTTCCCAGCTTCCCCCCGTCGTTAGCTCCCTCCGGACAGTCTCGCATGATGTACCACGGCTGCCACATTTATATCACCTGCCATAGAAGTTGTCATCTGACGGTGCTGCCATTCCATTGATGGATGGCTAAATGTTCTGCCCTTGAAGACAGCTTCCCTCCTGGAAATTTGTCTTTGGCCATACACTGTTCTCGTCTCACGCTTCTGCGACCTGCTGCACTTCGAAGAATGTCGCCGGGCGGCGCATGCGAATTTCGCGCGGGACCTCCAGCTTCATCCCTAAGATGTATCGACTCTTCTTTACAGTCTCGTGTTGATCGTCAATTTGCTCGCAGATGGCAAGGAAGGATGATGTGTACTCCAGCACAGAACCCATTTGACGCCACCCGTGCAGCTTCACACGAGCGTGTTCGCATGCGAATACATGCTTGAAGCGCCGGTGAAGCAGTGCACCCCATTGTTGCCAGGTAAGGACCTCGGCCACACGAAACAAGGATCCTGTAGAAGTCGAAACCAATCGTTGCTCCCCGTCCATCACCTATAGCCGGTCTACCGGAGTCCCTCATGACGTCACGTACTGTTGCCACCAACTTAGTGCAGGTCCGCGTACTAAAGACACCGCCAACTTGACGCGTGTCTCATCGTCGTTGACGTCGGTGGCATTGAAGAACAATTCCATGGAAAATAGCCACCCACTCAGCGTGGTGTGCTTCTCCAATGGGTTGAGCGGTGGGGGCATGGCAAATTTTATCTTCACGACTGCCCGTCGCTCGCTCGAATTGTCGTCACGTATCGCTGACGTTGCGTGCGGTTGATGCGCGCTCGCACGGTCTTCGTCCACGGTAACAAGCGAATCCTGACGCGTCGCACCACTCGCCTGGCGAAGGCTCACATTCTCCTCTTTCAACACAGCGAGCTTCAGGGCCATGGACTCCATCTTTGCCATCATCTCGCCGACCTTCGTCGTCAGCACTGACGCGCTTGCTGCCGCCTCTAACAATACAGCTATTTGCTCGGGATTCATATTTCTAGTACTACGGCGAAGAGGGCTATTGACCATGAATTACCCTAACTAGCTAACGCCACTAAAGTCACTTCGGGCACCTGGAGCCTTAGAGATGTGGAGCGCACACGACAAAGTCGGCAGAACTGAAGAATTTCCTGCACAACCGCTGGACAGCTCCCATCTCCTAATGTGCGAGTTCCCTCTAAAAACTACCTCACTACGGAAGCCTAAATAGCCAGGAACGTAGACGTGATACCAGTTGTTATGATAATCTCTGGATAGGATTCGAGTAATGCAACAGTGAGGTCGTGATTAAAGTGTGTCGAGTACAAATGAAGCATAGGGCTACATAAATACAAGCACAG